GCAGATTGAGTTATGTGTCTGCATAGCTATATTTATTTTAAATGCATAACCATCATTTTTGTTTGGAAAATTGGAAAATAACTACATGTGTTTACATAAAGCCTTCTTATCCTGTTTTAATAAAACAATGAATACATTATTATATGTGCATAATGTTCAGTAAAAGTGCATATAATTTAAAGACATTGTAAAACTGTATATGTTCAATATCCCAACAGCAAAACAGAGGGAATTAGGTGTGATTTTATGCTACATTTTATTGTCTGTTCTGACATTGATGTGTTTGCAGCTAAAGTAACAGCTCAGACACAAACCTGCTGTGAAGATGGACATTTATGAGGATTGAGTTCAGATTGTAACTCTAAATGGAGCTGTGTTAAAGTTTGGAAATATGTAATTAAATATTACAGATTTAATAGTTAAACCAGTTTGACTATTTTGTCGTCTCTATAACATAACCAATGAAGTTAACATCAGTTATAATTTCACATGGCATGAACAAGTTTTATTTCTTAAAGAAAAATACTGGTGATTGCATAAAGTTACAAACTTTACAGCAATCACTCCTCCTGTATGAAAGGAAGAAACCTGCAGTAGAACCCTAAATAAGTGTGAGTAACCATCTATTTATTTATCCTGTTATCAATTTTAATGATCAGAGAATTCAAAGCAGTACAAAAAGTTATAATATTGCCTAGTTAAGTAGCTGAGTGATATGAACAGCTAAAATGTATTTTGCATTATGAAATGTAAGGCTAACATCAGAGTAACACCAGCATAAGAGGAAGAATCTAAATGTTTTCAGGCATTTATTTGGATGGATACTGGGTTTAATTCGTATAATTTGGCTCTCAGGTTGCATAAAAACATAGAAACCCATAAGAACTGGTTCTGTTAGCAGCACCGTTTCTGCTAACAAAGGCAGAATCAGTTCTGCTTCTGTTAGCAGTTTCCAAGTGTTATTTATACTTCCTTCTGCAGGACACCAGAGGGCAGCATTGAACAGATAGAATCTGTATTATTTAATGTTGTCGATTCAAATCTTTTCTGTTTTGATTTTGTTCCAATTCACTGAAAGTTCCTCACAATCAACTGGAAAAATTTCCCCTTTGGGAATTGAAACATTTGAATAAATTTACTTAACATGTTTGCAGAGTCACAAATCCATAAAAACACCAGTCTTAAAGTCCCTCCACTGGCTCCCTGTAGCTCAAAGAATAGATTTTAAAATACTGTTGTTAGTTTATAAATCACTGAACGGTTTAGCACCACAATACATCAAAGATCTGCTGTTGTTGTATCAACCTTCCAGACTCTCAGGTTCTGGTTCTGGTTCTGCTCTGCATCCCCAGAACCAGAACCAAAAGAGGAGAAGCAGCTTTCAGCATCTACGCACCAAAACTTTGGAACAAACTTCCAGAAAACTGTAAAACAGCGAAAACCCTGACTTCTTTTAAATCGCAATTAAAAACACACCTGTTTAGAATTGTTTTTGAAATGTAATATGTAACAATATATTGTTTATTCCATGATGCATGACTTTGTGTTCTTGTGTTTATGATGTAAAGCACTTTGAAATGCCTTGCTGAAATGTGCTATGCAAATAAAATTTGATTGATTGATTGATTGATTGAAAAAATATGCAATTATAATAATAAAAAATATTATTTCTTGACTTATGAGGTGAAAGTTTCTATTGCATGTTTTGATATTTTATACAAGATAAAAACATTCATGTTTCAACAAAGACAGGTGACCTTCATCTACATAAATGTGTCTTTTTAAAACCATCCGATGTAGATTATTTTGCTAAACACAAAAGTAACAAAGACAACACAAGATTGATGTGTCTTACATAAAAACATGGTGCTAGCAAACATAATGCAGTAAAACCAGTTTTTCCTACTTCTGATCAGTTCTTTCACTTTGTTAAATGAAGCCAGCAGCATTTCATAAGTTTCCTTCACATCTGATTTATTCCATTTCAATGGAATCAAATTACCTTCAACAAGATGCAATACAGAACAAACTAAAGCATATTTTAAAGTCACAGAAAATAATACCCACAGAAAAATTATTTCAGTTCCCTATTAGCTTTCCTCATCACTTCAAAGGTGGATCCACCCTGTCGGGGAAGTTCATTTAAACTGCTGGAAGTTTTATTCTTTTAGGACAATGATTGGAAAAATTCACAAGCTACCCATGAATAAAGGTTAAAAAAATGATTTTATTTAGTTCATTATAAACTATAAATGGCTCCAGGCTACTTTACTAATCTATGTTGACTCTATAGGTCTTAGCATTTCATGCCCACCACATATCCCTTCATTTTAAATATGAAAAAAATGCCAAATTCCAACTTAAAATTTGTTAAACTAATATTTTATTGTTTTGTTCAACCATTATAACGACACTTTCAGTTAGTACATTAAAAGTCTATTAAAGAAGATAATGGAGATCTAAAGATTCATCCAGTTCATAAGATAATACATGATTTTGGATTCAGAAGAACCCAAACAAGAATCAAACTAGTGAACATTAGTTTTCCACAGTAAAATTGAGGTTTCACAAATTCTCTAACTGTGGTGCTTCTAAAGCTTAAAAAAACATTGAAAATGCCCTTTTTAGCTTTTGTTTATTAATTAAAGAAGAAGCCTCAACCAATCTGCTGCAAGAACCACAACTGGCATCTGCCTAAGAGTTTCTTATGGACTTGTTCCATTGTTTTTAAAGAGTGTGGAGTACAGTTGTACATCTCTATAGTTCAAAACCTAAAATATTTAATGGTCAAACTAGAGTCTGACCATTTTACAATAATGAGCATTTGTGCTTCAGGCTTCTGTTATCATTAAACCTGAAAAGCACGGTCTGTCAATGTGTATATAAAGAACAACTGTATGCTTTATTTTAGATGAAAAGTGGGAAAGAAATCAAGGAACTTGTATTCACCATATGGTTTTACATAACTAACACTTTAATATTGCATCTGTTTTTTTCAGGGTTGTGACATCTTGAAAAGCAACCAGGGGCTGATAATGTTGACTTGATTAAGTGCCGTTGTGACAGAAATGATGTTTCATCCCTATAATGGAAAACCTGGACTCCATGTAAACATCAATTTTAGTTTAATAGTTCCAGTCTGACAAACAGAGATTATCATAAAATAAAAGTGGCTGACAAGTTAAAATTTGTAACTACATAACGACCAGATGCCTTTGATAGACATTTATGTCTATCAACCAGTCTTCCGTTTCCCATTTATAGACTACAATACTTTGTTCAATCTCTAAATGGCTTATTCAGATTCAGATGTATTGAACATGGAATGCATCTGAAAGTAGGACAGTAATTCTCCAGGACTGGTTTTGTGCACCTGTATTGCATATCTTCTTTATTTATTATTAAACTAAAAACATATCCACTGCTATCTTGTCTGCATTTTGTTCTTCCAGTAGCCACACTTGACACCAGATCAGAAAGGAGAACAGAGTTTTTAGAGCAAAATCACAAAACAAAAGAATCAGGAACAAAGAAGCAAAACAAAAAAATAACTAAACCAGGAATCCCAAAGCTAAAATTAGAAGCTATGACAATGATAAGATCACTTGCACTTGAAAGTTAAATTGAACCAGAACAGGTTTTGACTCTCCCTTATAGGCCAACAAATAGTATTTGGTTTCTGTTTAAGGAAAAAGAACAGGTTTGAATTGGTATTTCCCTGTTAGTGTCCAAGTATCTGTTTTTTCAAAAGGGTAATTTTAGAAAATCTGTATCAATTCATATCATGAAACGTCACTCATAATATCCGTTTCTTTATTTGGTGATCAACTAGAATCAGAAGTGTAGGTTGTCATTGGTTCTGAATAGAGTCTGCGTGAATTGTCGGCTTTATTCTGGGTCCATCATTTGTTACAAATACTCAGAAATTTTATTATTAGCCATTTTTGCCTCTAATTTCTTCATTCTTAAGTAAATAAGCAACAAAGAACTGTATGTTTTGCCATCCCATGAAATCGACTGTAGTTGATTGTTCTTCTGCATCAGTTCTGGTTCACGAAGCGAACCTGTCATGTGGTTCAAAGTGGGGAACGGGCATCTCGATAACGCAGTGTGAGAGTGATCATTATGTTTTAAATATTAAAATAGATGACATATTATTCCATCTATCATGTTCAGTATTTCACTGCTATTGATACAGGAGCTTTATTAACATTTTAAAATCCCTCACAAACATCAGTGCATTCCTCTTTCCGATGCTTTACCAAAGCTTCTTGTTGCTTAGGTTAGTAGAAGCTAACAACAGAACCTGTAGTATTCTTTGTTTTTTGCTGTTTTTTTCTGCCTGTTATTAGAATTAATATGTTTCTTATCTTTCTTACATTAGTAGTTTATATTATTAGTAGTTTTTCATTTAAAGGTCAGTTTAGTGTTCTCACCCCACAGAGGAGGAATTTGTTAAACTGTGTAAGACATAACTAACCTTTCTTTAACCTCGGACATGTTATTGCAGGTGGTGTCTTAATCCTCTTTAGGAGAACTTTCTGAGATGCTGAGAAAGTTCAGACAGTAAAACTAAGATTTAATTTCTGTGTTCCCCCTTTTCCTTGTTATCAGGGTAGCTATCCTGTCCCCCCCTGCTCCCCTCCTGTTAGGCCAATAAAAAGTCAAGCTCTGAAGCAGAGAGTCAGAACGCTCAGTGAACTGAACAGCTGGCGGAGGCCAGGCTGGAAGAAATGCCAGGGTTCCTGTGTCTTCTTGCTTTTGCAAAATCTTGGTTGAAAACAAAGTAGTTCCTTTTTAGGTTGAGAAAGCACCTATCACCTGTTCACTCCATTTCTATAAACTGTTCAACATAAGTTTTAACAAACAAGGTAAATAATCTATTGTTAAAATGTAGTTACTAGTTTTAATGTACACGCTCTAGTAAAAGAGCTCAAGAACAAGAAACAAACCATTACAATAAAACATATTCTTTAATAATTCATTAAACAGGCACAAAATAAAAAGCAGGAAGAAGTTAATTAATTAGGACATTGTTCATCATTCAGGTTATACACTGATCTGACAAATTGTCATGCAAAGCAACTTATTTCAAGATAATCATGTGCAAAATATACAGTATAATTATAAACAGAACTTAAAGTTTGGAACTGCCAGCAAGATGGATAAAAGCTGCATGTTTACTCATTAAAATAATCCTTTTATTTCAGTTTATATAAAAGTTAAGACAATATATTTATCTAACTCTTGCCACGTCCGATTATCCTACATGACAATTTAATTGCTCACATACTTGTGATTATTAAGAAATCAGTCACAAGTAAGTTTGGTTTTATAATAGTTTTTGCTGTGTCTTTCCTTTTGATCCCACACACAAGCAGATTTCAATCATAAACTTATTGTATTTCAAAATTACGCTGACAATTTTCAATGGTTCCTGTCAAGACAGAAAAAAAGACATCTTAATTATTTGAAATCAGTCCTGTTTAGGATTTTAAATCCTAGTATACAGCTGTTTTAAAATTCATATTTAAAAGACCAAAGTCAATAAAACATTTGCTTATATTAAAAAGTAAGAATGTTTTACCTCTAGGAGGCTATATATTTTCATTTGAAATCTAAGAAGCACAGACATCCATCAAGCATAATCTAACATAACTCAGTTCTGGTGAAATGTTTGTTGTTTTGTAAATTTCTTTAATATGATTGAGTTTCAAAATGTATTTCCAGTCACACAAAAGAGGACTTCAAGAAATATTGCCAGCAACTATATTGCAATACTTACTTGGATAGGTGGGATATGAGCTTGTGTCAGGAAGTTTTGAAGCTATAAGAAGAAAAAAACTGGTTATTTCATAACACAACACCTTGTTTTATGTTAAATAACACACTATTTAGTAACTGATACAGGAACTTTACAACTGCAAATTAATGAATTGCAGTTTTAACAGGCATCAAAAATTTTGTCAGCAAAATAAATATTCAATTTGCACATAAATACTTAGTTCAGAAACTAAATTATGCTAAATATTAATCTGAACATTAAGATTTGGAAATATTTAGTTTGCAAACTAAATACAATATTTAGCTTACAAGCTGAATATTTAATTTGAATGCTAAATATTTAGTTTGTTAATTAAATGTTTAGTTTGGAAGACTGTTATTTATATTACGTACGAATAGCATATAGAAAATGAACACACATTGTTTGTCTGACAGGTTACATAAACTAACAGCAATATTTAATTTTTTTATTGTGTAACTTTTTAAATGGCACCCTATAATAAAAACCATGAAATATAAATATTTAAAAAGATCAATAATTACTATTAATTATTTTTCAGTCACATGTATTTAACTGACTTTTTTGTAAATTTTATAAACTCTATTTCAGTGTATAGAAAAATCTTCCAGTACCGTTGTTGGCATTTTTCCAAAGAAAGAGTCCACTTATGCAGAAGCACAACAGAATCAATCCGACAACAAGTCCAATGGCCAAACCAAGAGGAAACTCAGAGGAAGAGGAAGAAGAGGAAGAGGAAGGGGAAGATGATGGGGAAGGGGGAGGAGATGCTGGATCTGAAAGAAGGACCAGACATTCTTTTTATGAAACAGTTGTAGAATAGATATTTAATCTGTGCAATTTGTGAGAAGAAGCAGCTTACCCCAGTTGGTAATGATTGCTCCTTTTTCCAGTCTGGTTAGTATGGTTTTATTATTGAGCTTAAACACACAGTCATATCTCTTCCAGTCTTCAGATTCAATTGACGAAACATTGAGGTCAACACTCATCTGGTAAGTGTTATTGGGGTTTGGTAGGATCTCACTGGGCTTCTCTTGAATCCCCACTCCATCTCTCCTCCAGAACATCTCAGCTGTGTTTGGGTAGAAACCTGTGGCAAAACAGCGGACAGGAGAGGAAGGGGTCTTCTGGAGGAGAGCGACAGAAGTGAGATCTGTATGAGGGAGACAATGCAGAGAGAAGAGGACAGAGGGTTAAGGCAAAAGAGAAAATGAAATGGTGCAAAGATGCAATAAATGGACGTTGCTTGCGTCTGCGTCAACCTTTGACCACAATGCTGAACCACAGTAAGCAAAAATCAAAAAATAGGTTTAAGAATAATTTTGATGTATAAAAGACAAAAGAGATTTAATCTTAATTTATTCAAAATCTTACATGGCATTTGTCAATTGCTCATATAAAAACAAAAGTTCTAAACAGCAAATGCAAAAGTTAAACATTTTTATCCTTTTTGTTTTGCTACTAAAAGCTACTATGTATTTTTGTCATACTGAAGATCATCATAAATGAAGTGAGATAATAAACAGTAGTATGATCTACTGTATTCTTAGTGCTAAATGTAATCTTACTCTCAGAAAATCAGAAACTGAATGTTAAAATTAAACTGATTAAACAATGAATGTTATACCTTCTCTCTGCAGAGCGCTAAGAGACACAAACTGTTTTAGCATTTGGGGGCAAATCAGTGTCAAAAACAGTGTTATGTTGTTTAATCCGTCCTGGGCAGAGTCCCACAGCGGTTTTAATTGTTCAGCCAAAGGTTGTTGAGCAGTCCATGTCATATTTGTGGAGTATAGTTTCATGAAATCTTCTCCATTGTAGCCACACTGCTGAAAAATGACATTTTCAGGAGGCGTTTCATCCAGTCCACAGCCAAGCATACACTGTAAAACATGAACATCTAAGACAGACAGCAAAGAATTATAGTAGTTTGTTTAAAGTATTTAACATTTATTATGCAAAGTATCTGCACAGTACCTTCATCTGGATTTAAGGTTCCCAGCCTGATTAAGTATTCAGTAAAACCAACATCCAGAGAGTTTAATACTTCTTTAGAGAATATCGGCGACTGATAGAAATCTGATATGTTCTTCCAGAGAACTGAGCTTGGTTTTCTAAATCCGTTGCCCTCATAGTAATCCACTTGAATTTCATCAATTACTATTGTAAACAGATCTGGAAGATCCCTGATTCCAGTCGAAATAATGGCAAAAATTGTCAATGAATTTTTTACTGTGAGGAAAAGATGAAGATATATGGTCAATATTGTTAGTATTAGCTACACACATGCTCCTCCATGCATAAATTGTTTTATTAGTGACATTAAAACTGGTTACTATACCTGATGATGAAGCCTGGCAGAGAAGGAGCACTATTAATATTTTGTTTGTCTGAAGACACATCTTTCCCAGAAAGCTGAGCTTTTAAATCCTCTCAAACTGTTTGTTGAGCTGAGAGCACAAACGAAGATTAAAACAAAAATCACTGCAGACACTTGAAATATGAACGACTGTCAATAATTGCCCCTCCCACAGTGTTTGAGGAGGAGTACAGGCAGCAGCAAGAGTCTGCTGTTAACAGATACATCATTTTCATTTGTTTGTTTCTTAAAACATAATTTATTATTTTATGCATTAAGTTTTAAATACCCTTGTTCTTGGGCTGCCTCTTAGTTAGATTTGTACGCGCTGACTTTCATTTCCCATTGTAAACACTTACCCATTTGGCACATTGAGGATAACTGCAAAGACATCAATAAATGAGGAATGTTTTTCTTAAAGCTACTGTTAATGACAACAAAGACAGTGACATTCAGAGCACAGGAATGAGTTCAGAACATTAGACCCAATGTCGTTCAGAGGATTTTTATGATCCTGGATTACATCACACTCATCATCTCCTGGGTCAGTTTTTGGTGCCATTAAGTCTGCATCAGTGTAACTGATAAAAGTCTCAGGATCTCCACTGCCCTCTTCCTCCAGAATTTCTTCAGTCTGGCTGCCATGAAGCTCAGCACACTGAGGTTCCACCTCCTGTTCTTCTGTCTTCACCTGGACAGAACCACTAAACATGGTGGTAATTTCAACTTCCTCTTGTTCCTTTTTAAACTGGAGGTTCTTTGGTTCCTCCTGGTAGACTGTGGAGCATTGAACATAACTAAATTTCTGTGTTTCAGAAGTGTTTTCTCCAGAAAGTAATAAAAATATACACTGCTCAAAAAATAAAGGGAACACTCAAATAACACATCCTAGATCTGAATGAATTAAATATTCTCATTGAATATTTTGTCCTGTACAAAGTTGAATGTGCTGACAACAAAAATCATCAATGGAAATAAAATTCATTGAATGAATGAAATATGAGAATATTTCATTCATTCATATCTAGGATGTGTCATTTGAGTGTTCTCTTTATTTTTTGAGCAGTGTATTTTCTTGCTATTGTGAAGAGTCTGACAGCTAAAAATAGATATTTTCAGAAGTTATTCATCTTCATATGTAGTAAATTGTTCACTTTATGAGAATGGACCTCTATGGTTAAAGCTATGTACCACATGCATTTAAAAGAAATAGATTTTTCAAAAATGTGACCTTGTATTGTATTTTAGCATGCATAATTAGCATATATTGATATTTATTATTGAGTCAATTAATCTCATGCAGACATCACTTCTCACAAAAAGAAGTTTGAAATGTCCCTCTGATAAAGTGAGGACAGAATCAGTGGTGCTGGAGTATGAAATAAATTCAATGTGTTTACTAAAAATGCTCAAAAGGAGACAGAAAAACAATTTTTTGTAACTATCTTTTTTTAAAATGTCTTCATTATCATTTGGTGTGATTTTTTAAAAAGCTACATTGTGTTTTAATGTGGTGCTAAAAGACTGTTTTGACTTGAAATGGTTCCTGCACTTTTCCAGTAAATATATTTTGTGTTTCCTGCATTTTATCTTGTCAAACAGGATTTGTTGCCATATCAATGATGCACTTCACCTTGGCCTTTGTTTGAGTCTTTTACCACAGCTCATCCTCCATATTTCTTGTCATCCATTTATAAACATAAACCTCTTCGGCTGGAACGTATTATGAATTTCAAGCCATTTGTAGATGGTGAGGAGATGTTTTTCTCATGGCTAATGCTAAAATAAAACTACAGATTTCAAAATTGTATCTATGAAATACATCAATAAATTAAATTTCAACCTCTGAAGGAAATAATGTCTGTGCGCTGTTCTCCGACAAGACGTCTGGGAAAGTACAAACCCTTAAGATATTTTCTAAATGGGGTTTGCTGTGGTGGCGCAGGGGTTAGCCCCACGTTTGGAGGCCTCAGTTCTCAACGCGGATGTCGCGGGTTCGACTCCCGTTCCCAGCTACCTTTGCCGCATGTCTTACCCCCTCTCCTCGCCCTCTTTCCTGTCTGCCTATTGTCAAAAATAGGAGCCACTAGTGCTGCAAAATCTTTTCGGAGAAAAAAATGATAAAAAAAAAAAAGATAATATCTACTTGGTAACTTCCAAATGACTCATCCAAATATGCATCACTTGTGGTGTGAACACAAATAAACTCCAATCTCTCCAGCTTTTAAGTTATAATAAAGGGTTTATATTAATTGAACCTGAATATACATAATAAATATATTGCTACATTTTTACCATTGATGCAGTGGTCTGTTTTTCAAGCTATGTTCACTGTGTTGTTTGTCTTGCCCCTATAAACCTAGTTTGAATTTATTCATTTATTATTTAGGCAGCTATGAGTCTAGTCATGTGTTCAGGTTTATTAGGGGCATTTGTGGCCGATATGGTCTCAAACCTCAGTGTCTTTTACACAGGGGTTAACAAACCGAATTTAGCAAGAGGAGTCACCTCTTGCTCCATGACTTCACAACATCTCTGATGGATGATGTCTCCCACCCAATACATAAAGCTGTTGCTGAATTGGAGAGTTTCTTCAGTGACAGGCTGCTTGCAGCAAGTATTAATGAAACTAGTAATTCAGATAGAAATCAAATCAACTGCATTAACAAGTGGAGATGTACATTTTAACACACGACAGATCACTCACCTACCACCGTCTACTAGTAGAAGTAGTTTAATTTTAGCACTTTAATGTTCACTTATTATTTGTGGTAAGTTAGTTAGCTTTGCTTTAGGTGTATCATATGATTCTTTCACTAATTTTGTAATTTTTGTTCCTTTGTTGTGTTGTGCTTTTATGTTAAAATGCTTTGTTTATGTTTTCCAGGCACATAATTCCACTTTATAGCACAATCAAGTAATCATGTTACTTTCAGTCGTGGATATGAAGATGATTTATTGGTCAAATATGATTTCAAAGAAATTTGATTTAGTAATTTAACACCTTGAAATAGGGTCTCTGTTGCTTTAAAAATTCCTGCTCTTTCTGGAACTCTGCCTTGACTCTCACAGATCACATTATACGAATTACAAGCATAAAACAGAAAGCATTTCTAAATTTAGCAAACAAGTTAAGCAAGTCAGACTTCCTCTCAATACTTAATTTGCAATTAAGCTTTCTAAGCAGAATTAAGATACTGATACTTCTCATGTTCTGCCATGCCACAACTGCAGGTAAGAAATTGCACTACATTGATAATTAATACCATATATTGTTTTTTTCTCATTTACTTTGCAAGGCTCTCCAAACCAACATAAATAGATAATTTTAGATAATTAAATAAATGAGAGGCCAATTAGAGTGCGTTTCCAAATCTGTGTGATGTAAATCTGTTTTAGCAATAAAAATGTGTGTTAACTAGGATAATCATAATATATTTCAGCTTGTATATTTTTCTACAAGTTATTGTAAAATTTTCAGGAAAGAGCTGCCATTGTTAAGTGTCCATAGCTGTTTCAGTTAATGTCAGGATTATCAGAAAACAAACAGAAGCATGAAAGCCTCATTGTTGTTTATTCTTTGTTAACTATTTTAGATACTCATCCTTGCAGATTTATGGGGTAAAGTGTGCATGTGGGCATGTGTGTGGAGGACTTTGGATGTGTAATGGAGGAGTGGTGGGAGTAGTAACCTGCTGCAGGCACTCCCACAGCATAGGAGTAAAAATCTCTACTATCTGTTTTATCTGTCAGTGCTACGCGTCCAAAACTGCCCCCAGTAGAGTCTCCTAGCTTGAATTTGCACCTAGGCTTCATTTCATGTTTTAATATTGATTTAAAAAAATTGTGTGTACTGGGTGCTGCGGTAGTGTAGACGTCAAGGGCAACCCACATAAGGAGGCTTTGGTCCTCACCGTGACCTTCGCAGGTTTGATTCCCTGCCTGGTGACTTTTGCTGCATGTCTTGTTTTATTTACTTATCATGGTTCTATGTAAATAGGTTACGTATTTCTCATTAAAAAGGCAATTCGATCATGTTTTCTAATCTGTAGATTGTATTTGTGTATTTCAAAAAACAAAGTATTTATTGACAGAGAATTCAAACCAGTACAGAAAATGTCAGTTTTACAGGCAGAATGATAGTCTGCTTTTCTAGTTATAATATCAGCTAGTTATATATCTGAGTGATATGAACAGCTAAAATGTATTAAAAAATGTAATGCTAGCACCAGAGTGACACAAGCTTAGGAGGAAGAATCTCAATGTTTTTATGGCATCTATTTGGATGGATACTGGGTGTAATTAGTATAATTTGGCTCTCAGTTTGCATTAAAATAAACATTTGCCTTAATAACAAACAAGAGTCAGATCAATGTAACGTACTCCCATCTCAGAATACAAAACATGCCGCTAAGCACACTGGGAAATTGTTCCCTCTCCTGTATTTGTCTTCTTTCTGTTTTTTTATGCTAACTTAAAAACTCCAGTTTTCTCAGTTCTTGTAGTTTTGACAAAATTAGTAAAAAAGTTAACACAACTTACTACAGTAAGTTTATCTTTTCACAAACTCACATATTTAGGTTCAAAATCTAAAACTCGGATCTGATAAACATATTTTACCTAAAGAGTAGAAGATAGTAGACGCAACTAAATTTGACTCAAATGTTTTGCAGTGTTCAGGCTCATCAGCCTCACCTTTCATTTTTAGGACTTCGATCTGCCAAACACAAAATATTTGTTGTGAAGCCGGTTTGTCACTTTAGCGATCGTTCTTGCTCTGCGTTGATAAAATGAGGAAGTTATGGTTTAATACTAACCTTGAGTGAACCCTTGCATAGAGTTATGCAAACAGTGAACTATGTCAACATTTCGTGTTTGGAAAATAATCTGCATATTTTATCTGTACCAGATGTAACTAACGTAAAATCCCTGAATTGTTTGTGTCATGCTTTGTAATTTTAGTCATTTTCATTATTTCTGTCAGTTTAAGGTGGAGTTGAAAAACAAGTCTATATAAATGTAATGAGATTTATGCCATGTCACTTGCAGCTAAAAAGTATAAAGTTTGTATTGAGAAATAAATCTTGTGAACTAAAGAATCTGTTCATCTCATCTTAATCAGTGTTGGCTTGGTGAGCTGTTTTTGTTATATCAGGGATGTAAAGGATTGTAATGAGAGCTTGGGAGTCAGGGACCAGCTGGTGACAGCAGTAACAGAGAACAACAGAGGATCTGATGAAGAAACAGACAAACAGAGGAGCATTTTCTGAAGTGTATCAATCCTTCCACTGATTTACCCGTATTGTTGCTGTTACTATTTATCTTCTTTTAGCTCCTGTGTGGCTTGAGCTCACTAAGAAGCTGAATCCAGACACCTGATCAGCAAGTCATTCATCATTTCTTTATGTGAGATACTGTGAGACTCTTGAATATAAATGTAATTACATCAGGTATGTAGAGATTAACACACATAACACTTATGAAGTGAAACCAGATTTTATCTTTGTTAAAACCTGTTTATCAACCCACATATTAGATAAAGTTTAGACTTGTTGATCAATGACGGTTTTGTTTCTGAGTGTTTGAAACTCTTTGCATGGAGGTGAATTTACACCGTTTAAAATAACTTTCTTTAGAAAAAGACTATATAAATTTGTGGCTCTGCTAAGAAACAATCTGGGTTTGAAAAAAAAATTCAGTCAGTTCCTGGTGAGGTGTGAGGAGGAATAAGTTATCAGATGTACTATCATCTTCTTGAATGCAGTTGGAATTGTGTACATTTCTATCTGGCTGTGAGTCATTTTGATTTTTAGCTGCTGCCTATCTGGCTGGTCAGGTTGTCATGTGCCTATTTTTGGTCTTCAAAAAAACTCCAGAAGCATTAACTTTGCCTTGCCTTGAATTTAACTTAGAATAAATATACATTATGTTTTGTATATCACAAGTTTTTGCTCTTGTTTTAATTCACAATCCTCTTTCATGGAACTATTTTTGCATCTCTGTGTAAGAACTGCTCCTTCTTTTCCTAGAGACAAAATAATTTAAGTCTACAGACTTGACAACATCATGGCAAACTCTTTCCTCCTGAGTAAATTATTTCTGTCATTGCTTTGAAATAATATCATAATTTTTAAATATGTGTTCTGGTGGAATCTGTATTTCACAAGCATAGATTTAAGCTACTATGAATTATTAAATGAAACTGACAAGAGACTTCAGTCAAGAATGGACTCACATTAATCCCGCCCAGGAGCAGTTGGGCGGGTAGTTAAGCCTTTTTAGACTCAAACAATAAGTTCAACAACTGAAACTTCCCCTTCAAACTCATTTTCACTTTAGCTTTCTAAACAAGATGAAGTGGTTGGTGATACTTCTCATGTTCAGCCATAGTTCATCTGCAGGTAAGAAAAGGCAAAACATTACATATGCATGTTTTCTCTCTTTTTCTCATTTTCAAATCTCTGAGTTGTTGGCACCTTTCTTAGACTATGGTAAAGATCATATTCCTCTATGTTTTCCCACCTTGTTCTGAAATTTATAATGAGACTTGTGTGTGTTATCAGACTAGTGAAAGGAAGTTTGACTCTTCTCAGAAAACCAGGGAACATTTTGTGTGGCTCCCAACAAAGAGCTGTGCAAAAATCTTCTTATCCTCATATCTTAGCTTTAAGATAGGTAATTATGAACGTTTTATGTTCATAAATTATTTTTTGCTGTTTTTATTTTTATATGAAGTTTTATACTTGTTTATTTTAATGCATTTGTTCTGTTGCAAAATACACTCTTTTTTGGAATATTTTAATCAAACTTTACATTTTGATTTAACACAAAAACAAATGAACAGAGCACTGAAAACAATTCTGCTGAGCAGATCCACAATAGAAACAGAGATAAACTCAGTAACCAAATGCTTTCAGTGCATACAAAAAAAAAAGACTCTGCCCAAAGTAACCAAACCACCACATTTTCCCATTTAAGTCATCTTCTAAGTAATTTTCTGGGTAACCTAGACCTGACCAACTGCACAGGCTTGTACAGTAGGAACTAGGCATGATGGGTGCATCACTTCACCCGCCTCTCTTCTTACCCATCACTCTGGAACAGGGTAAATCTGGACTCATCAGACCACATGACCCTCTTCCATTCCTCCAGAGTCCAATCTTTATGCTCCCTAGCAAATTTAAGCTTTTTTTTCTACTTAGCCTTACTGATTAGAGGTTTTCTTATGGCTACACAGCTGTTCAATCCCAACTCCTTGAGTTCCCTTCGCATTGTGTGTGTGGAAATGCTTTCGCGTTCACAATTAAACATACTCCTGAATTCTGTCGTTGTTTTTCTTCTATTTAATTTGACCAAACGTTTAAGTAATCGCCGATCACGATTATTCAGGATTTCTTTCCGACCACATTTCTTTCCGGACAACGATGGTTCCCCACCATCCTTCCAGTTTTTAATGATGCATTGGACAGTTCCTAACCCAATTCTAGTGGTTTCTGCAATCTCCTTAGATGTTTTCTCTGCTTGGTGCATGCCAATGATTTGACCCTTCTTGGACAGACTAACGTCTTTTCCACGACCACAAGATGTCTTTTGCCATGGTTGTTTAAGAAATGAGGAGTTACTCATTGCATCAGCAGGGGTTAAATAACTTGTCAGCTGAAAGATAATCGCCTATGGAGTAATTATCCAATACATTTCTTGTACCTATTTGCTTAGTTACATCCAGATGGCGACTTTTATTTTGGACAGGCAGTGTATATTGATGCACATTTTTTAGTTGAGAATTTATGACAGTACATTGTCTTCACACTTTGGCTGGATTTTTTAAACAATATTGTAAAAAACTGTTAAATACATAAATTATTTTTTTAAAAAGTACAGGTTTAGTGTGATTTTTTTTTTTTTTGTAAAAATTATTTGTTCTTTATCAGGTCCAGAAAAAAACTAAATCTAACCTTAACCTATGTGTTAATCTGCTAAATTCATGTAATTATTTATTAAAGAGACAAAATGGAGAAGTTTACAATAAATTAAATACCTTCCAGAACTTTGAAGAAATATGAAGTGAATATACATATTAGCAAAGATTTTTCACTCAAGGACTGCAGCAAGAGGATGATATGTTTTTAATAATAAAATATCTTTTTTTCATACAGAGACACACTTCCTGAAGTTTTACTTCACTGGATCTACTGGGTTCACAAACGTTGCTGTGTTTGACATCGTTGGAAAATTAGATGACATCGAAGCAGCTTACTGCAACAACAAAGTAGTTGATGTAAAATTAGACTGGATGAAGAAATTATTTAGTGATGATCCAAAACTATTTGAGTTTATAAAAAGTAGTTGCTTTATTACTAATCCTGCCTTCTTTAGATATATAATTCCTGAGATTATGAAGAACTTTCATCAAACTGAAGGTAATGTATGTTTGTTAATTATTAGTTTATCTCATAGAGATAACATAAATATTCTTAATTTTTAGAAATAAAAGGTAATAACAAATCATTTACTTATTAAAGTAATGTTTCTTGTTTTTTTTATCAATTTGTTTTTCATTTTGTGGTCAAAATGTTCTGTAATTTTTAAAAATCTTCAAATATTGTTCTTCCCACTTCAAAATAATATTTATTTCAATATTTTATTACTTCTACATTTATTATAGTTTAAAAATCCACCACGTTATAATAAAAAATATTTTTGTTCCAGGTGTTCATACTTTTCAGAGGATTGGTGGTTGTGAACTGAACATGGAAACTAAAGAGCTGACTGGATTTTTGAAGTACGGTTATGATGGAGAAGACTTCCTTGAATTTGATTTAAATGGACTGAAATGGATTGCAATGAGAAAAGAGGCTCTTTTTCTCAAACAAATTTGGGATATGAATACACAACATCTCTACTTTAACAGAGATCTCATAAATCGATGCTATGAGGTTCTTAATCACTCCTTGGTCGTTGGACACGGCTCTATCTTTAGAACAGGTACAGTTCTTCAGAATGTACTTCAGTACATCAACACTGAATCTGTCTGTCTCTCTTTCAAGAATTATCTTTAAAACTACATTTTCAATAATATTTATGCTGTTGTACCATATTTTCTTCTGCTTTTGAAGCCATTTTATTAAAAGTAATTTCCTCATCTTTTCAAACAAACTTGCTCTGCATTGTCATATGAATGTAACTAAATCAACAGAACATTGTCTTAGTCTGATTATATCATCCACTTGCTTTCTCTTCATCCTTTTCCTCTTTTGTTTTCCACCATCATGTTCAGATTACCCCTCAGTTTCTCTCCTTCAGAAGACTCCCTCCTCTCCAGTCGGGTGTCACGCTACTGGTTTCTACCCAAACAGTTTCCTGATGTTCTGGAGGAAGGATGGAGAGGAGATTCATGAGGGAGTGGATGCTGGAGAGATCCTCAACAATGAGGATAGTACATTCCAGTATCGTGTTGATCTGGATATTTCATCAATCCCATCTATGGACTGGGCGAGGTATGACTGTGTGTTTCAGTTTACTGGAGCTGAGGACAAAATCATGATCAAGCTGGATAGAGAAGTAATCAAGACCAACTGGGGTGAGAATAAATATCTCAGTATCACATATGTTAGTATTTAATACATTTTAGTATTTAATATTAGTATTTAATACATTTGTAAGTTTGTGATGATTAAAGCAGAAAATTAGGAGAATTTTACACATATTCTGCATGGAAAGCATCAGAAATACTTTGGGCAGAAACTGTTTACAACACAAAGTGATGCCAGCTTCCACACAATTATTTCTTCCTAAGAAAATAAGATCCCAACAAATATCTATTGCAAAAATATGCCAATTCTCATAACATTTATGACTCAATTCTACAGCTTCAACAATTAATGATGCCCTCGCCTGATCAGCTCTTGTGGTTTCTCTTTGACCAGATGAATCATCTCAGAGAAATATCATCATCATTGCTGTCATTTCTGTTGTGATTTCCATCATAATTGCTGCTTTAGCATTTGCTGCTTTCAAGAAGAAAAATGGTAAGATTTTGGATTTATCATGATGTATCCTCAACCTCAATAGACTGAAATCTGAAGATTGCAGCAAACAAATGATTGTTTTCATACCATCTTTGCATTAAATTAAGAAACCTTAAAAATTATAAATATTTTCTCTTTTGATGTTTTATTGCATATTTGTAAATTGAAACCCAAATCTCTGTTTAACTTTCAGATAGACAAGTCATCCCTGGTAAGTAGGGCTGAAATTTATTTATCTTTTGTTTCACCAAATTGTCTGAAATAATTCTAAGATCAGAGGATTAGCAAGTCTCTTTTTGGTTCCTCAGAGTCTGAAATCATACCATTGAGAAACTGACTTCGAAATCCAGATCAAGAAATCTAACATCCTGCTCTGCCTTCACATGTCCATTTAACATATGTACTATATGTGTATTAATATAATCTAATAAGTACCCTAATTGCTTTTTCATTAAGCAGGTATTATTGTGTGAAATAACACCTGTTACTGTACTAGACAGCTCTGGGCTGTATGAAATGTTTTTTCTACTCATTTCTAGTAGAAAAAAATGAGTAGAAATGATTAGAAAAAACATTTCATCATAACTTCTTTTGTTTTTCTTCAGCTAATACAAAGTGTAGTATATCTAAAATAAAATCACAAATGTTTTTATTACTGTCAGTTTTTTAAATGACCAAGTATTCTATTAAAATCCCAATTTGCTTCCTGACAAAATATGCTGGAGAAATACAATAGACTGTTGTATATGTGAATGCTGTGAACTGACCATTGTTGCATTGTTGGACTCTTGTTTATAAACTGGCAGATTGAGTTATGTGTCTGTATAGCTATATTTATTTTAAATGCATAACCATCATTTTTGTGTTTGGAAAATTGGAAAATAACTACATGTGTTTACATAAAGCCTTCTTATCCTGTTTTAATAAAACAATGAATACATTATTATATGTGCATAATGTTCAGTAAAAGTGTATATAATTTAAAGACATTGTAAAACTGTATATGTTCAATATCCCAACAGCAAAACAGAGGGAATTAGGTGTGATTTTATGCTACATTTTTATTGTCTGCTCTGACATTGATGTGTTTGCAGCTAAAGACAAACCTGCTGTAAAGATGGACATTTATGAGGATTGAGTTCAGATTATAACTCTAAATGGAGCTGTGTTAAAGTTTGGAAATATGTAATTAAATATTACAGATTTAATAGTCAAACCAGTTTGACTATTTTGTCGTCTCTATAACATAACCAATGAAGTTAACATCAGTTATAATTTCACATAGCAAGATCAAGTTTTATTTCTTAAAGAAAAATACTGGTGATTGCATAAAGTTACAAACTTTACAGCAATCACTCCTCCTGTATGAAAGGAAGAAACCTGCAGTAGAACCCTAAATAAGTGTGAGTAACCATCTATTTATTTATCCTGTTATCAATTTTAATGATCAGAGAATTCAAAGCAGTACAAAAAGTTATAATATTGGCTAGTTACATAGCTGAGTGATATGAACAGCTAAAATGTATTTTGCATTATGAAATGTAAGACTAACATCAGAGTAACACCAGCGTAAGAGGAAGAATCTAAATGTTTTTAAGGCATTTATTTGGATGGATACTTGGTTTAATTTGTGTAATTTGGCTCTCAGTTTGCATAAAAACCTAGAAACCCATAAGAACTGGTTCTGTTAGCAGCACCGTTTCTGCTAACAAAGGCAGAATCAGTTCTGCTTCTGTTAGCAGTTTCCAAGTGTTATTTATACTTCCTTCTGCAGGACACCAGAGGGCAGCATTGAACAGATAGAATCTGTATTATTTAATGTTGTCGATTCAAATCTTTTCTGTTTTGATTTTGTTCCAATTCACTGAAAGTTCCTCACAATCAACTGGAAAAATTTCCCCTTTGGGAATTGAAACATTTGAATAAATTTACTTAACATGTTTGCAGAGTCACAAATCCATAAAAAATACGCAATTATAATAATAAAAAAGATTATTTCTTGGCTTATGAGGTAGAAGTTTCTATTGCATCTTTTGATATTTTACACAAGATAAAAACATTCATGTTTCAACAAAGACAGGTGACCTTCATCTACATAAAAGTGTCTTTTTAAAACCATCCGATGTAGATTATTTTTGCTAAAAATACAAAAGTAACAAAGACAACACAAGACTGATGTGTCTTATATAAAAACATGGTGCTAGCAAACATAATGCAGTAAAACCTGTTTTTCCTACTTCTGATCAGTTCTTTCACTTTGTTAAATAAAGCCAGCAGCATTTCATAAGTTTCCTTCACATCTGATTTATTCCAATTTCAATGGAATCAAATTACCTTTAACAAGATGCAATACAGAACAAACTAAAGCATATTTTAAAGTCACAGAAAATAATACCCACAGAAAAATTATTTCAGTTCCCTATTAGCTTTCCTCATCACTTCAAAGGTGGATCCACCCTGTCGGGGAAGTTCATTAAACTGCTGGAAGTTTTATTCTTTTAGGATAATGATTGGAAAAATTCACAAGATACCCATGAATAAAGGTTAAAAAATGTTTTTATTTAGTTCATTATAAACTATAAATGGCTCCAGGCTACTTTACTAATCTATGTTGACTCTATAGGTCTTAGCATTTCATGCCCACCACATATCCCTTCATTTTAAATATGATAAAAATGCCAAATTCCAACTTAAAATTTGTTAATCTAATATTTTATTTTTTTGTTTAACTCATATAACAACACTTTCAGTTAGTACATTAAAAGTCTATTGAAGAAGATAATGAAAATCTAAAGATTCATCCAGTTCATAAGATAATACATGATTTTGGATTCAGAAGAACCCAAACAAGAATCAAACTAGTGAACATTTGTTTTCCACAGTAAAATTGAGGTTTCACAAATTCTCTAACTGTGGTGTTTCAAAAGCTTAAAAAACATTGAAAATGCCCTTTTTAGCTTTTGTTTATTAATTAAAGAAGAAGCCTCAACCAATCTGCTGCAAGAACCACAACTGGCATCTGCCTAAGAGTTTCTTATGGACTTGTTCCATTGCTTTTAAAGAATGTGGAGTACAGTTGTACATCTCTATAGTTCAAAACCTAAAATATTTAACTAGATATAAAACTAGAGTCTGACCATTTTGCGATAATGAGCATTTGTGCTTCAGTGCTTCTGTTATCATTAAACCTGAAAAGCACGGTCTGTCAATGTGTATATAAAGAACAACTGTATGCTTTATTTTAGATGAAAAGTGGGAAAGAAATCAAGGAACTTGCATTCACCATATGGTTTTACATAACTAACACTTTAATGTTGCATCTGTTTTTTTCAGGGTTGTGACATCTTGAAAAGCAACCAGGGGCTGATAATGTTGACTTGATTAAGTGCCGTTGTGACAGAAATGATGTTTCATCCCTATAATGGAAAACCTGGACTCCATGTGAACAGCAATTTTAGTTTAATAGTTCCAGTCTGACAAACAGAGATTATCATAAAGTAAAAGTGGCTGACAAGTTAAAATTTGTAACTACATAACGACCAGATGCCTTTGATAGACATTTTATGTCTATCAACCAGTCTTCCGTTTCCCATTTATAGACTACAATACTTTGTTCAATCTCTAAATGGCTTATTCAGATTCAGATGTATTGAACATGGAATGCATCTGAAAGTAGGACAGTAATTCTCCAGGACTGGTTTTGTGCACCTGTATTGCATATCTTCTTTATTATTATTAAACTGAAAACATATCCACTGCTATCTTGTCTGCATTTTGTTCTTCCAGTAGCCACACTTGACACCAGATCAGAAAGGAGAACAGAGATTTTAGAGCAAAATCACAAAACAAAAGAATCAGAAACAAAGAAGCAAAACAAAAAATAACTAAACCAGGAATCCCAAAGCTAAAATTAGAAGCTATGACAATGATAAGATCACTTGCACTTGAAAGTTAAATTGAACCAGAACAGGTTTTGACTCTCCCTTATAGGCCAACAAATAGTATTTGGTTTCTGTTTAAGGAAAAGAACAGGTTTGAATTGGTATTTCCCTGTTAGTGTCCAAGTATCTGTTTTTTCAAAAGGGTAATTTTAGAAAATCTGTATCAATTCATATCATGAAACGTCACTCATAATATCCGTTTCTTTATTTGGTGATCAACTAGAATCAGAAGTGTAGGTTGTCATTGGTTCTGAATAGAGTCTTCGTGAATTCTGGGTCTTTATTCTGGGTCCATCATTTGTTACAAATACTCAGAAATTTTATTATTAGCCATTTTTGCCTCTAATTTCTTCATTCTTAAGTAAATAAGCAACAAAGAACTGTATGTTTTGCCATCCCATGAAATCGACTGTAGTTGATTGTTCTTCTGCATCAGTTCTGGTTCACGAAGCAAACATGTCATGTGGTTCAAAGTGGGGAACGGGCATCTCAATAACACAGTGAGAGTGATCATTATGTTTTAAATATTAAAATAGATAACATATTATGCCATCTATCATGTTCAGTATTTCACTGCTATTGATACAGGAGCTTTATTAACATTTTAAAATCCCTCACAAACATCAGTGCATTCCTCTTTCCGATGTTTTACCAAAGCTGCTTGTTGCTTAAGTTAGTAGAAGCTAACAACAGAACCTGTAGTATTCTTTGTATTTTGCTGTTTTTCTGCCTGTTATTAGAATTAATATGTTTCTTATCTTTCTTACATTAATAGTTTATATTATTAGTAGTTTTTCATTTAAAGGTAAGTTTAGTGTTCTCACCCCACAGAGGAGGAATTTGTTAAACTGTATGTAAGACATAACTAACCTTTCTTAACCTCGGACATGTTATTGCAGGTGGTGTCTTAATCCTCTTTAGGAGAACTTTTGAGATGCTGAGAAAGTTCAGACAGTAAAACTGAGATTTAATTTCTGTGTTCCCCCTTTTCCTTGTTATCAGGGTAGCTATCCTGTCCCCCCTGCTCTCCTTCTGTTAGGCTAATAAAAAGTCAAGCTCTGAAGCAGAGAGTCAGAACGCTCAGTGAACTGAACAGCTGGCGGAGGCCAGGCTGGAAGAAATGCCAGGGTTCCTGTGTCTTCTTGCTTTGCAAAATCTTGGTTGAAAACTAAGTAGTTCCTTTTTAGGTTGAGAAAGCACCTATCATCTGTTCACTCCATTTCTATAAACTGTTCAACATAAGTTTTAACAAACAAGGTAAATAATTTATTGTTAAAATGTAGTTACTAGTTTTAATGTACACGCTCTAGTAAAAGAGCTCAAGAACAAGAAACAAACCATTACAATAAAACATATTCTTTAATAATTCATTAAACAGACACAGCAAAATAAAAAGCAGGAAGAAGTGAATTAATTAGGACATTGTTCATCGTTCAGGTTATACACTGATCTGACAAATTGTCATGCAAAGCAACTTATTTCAAGAAAATCATGTGCAAAATATACAGTATAATTATAAACAGAACTTAAAGTTTGGAACTGCCACCAAAATGGATAAAAGTTGCATGTTTACTCATTAAAATATTGCTTTTATTTCAGTTTATATAAAAGTTAAGACAATATATTTATCTAACTCTTGCCACGTCCGATTATCCTACATGACAATTTAATTGCTCACATACTTGTGACTATTAAGAAATCAGTCACAAGTAAGTTTGGTTTTATAATAGTTTTTGCTGTGTCTTTCCTTTTGATCCCACTTACAAGCAGTTTTCGATCATAAACTTATTGTATTTCAAAATTACGCTGACAATTTTCAATGGTTCCTGTCAAGACAGAAAAAAGACATCTTAATTATTTGAAATCAGTCCTGTTTAGGATTTTAAATTCTAGTATACAGCTGTTTTAAAATTCATATTTAAAAGACCAAAGTCAATAAAACATTTGCTTATATTAAAAAGTAAGAATGTTTTACCTCTAGGAGGCTATATATTTTCATTTGAAATCTAAGAAGCACAGACATCCATCAAGCATAATCTAACATAACTCAGTTCTGGTGAAATGTTTGTTGTTTTGTAAATTTCTTTAATATGATTGAGATTCAAGATGCAGTTCCAGTCACACAGAAATCAAACTATAAACGTCACGCATGTCTTCTCAAAAGAGGACTTCAAGAAATATTGCCAGCAACTATATTGCAATACTTACTTGGATAGGTGGGATATGAGCTTGTGTCAGGAAGTTTTGAAGCTATAAGAAGAAAAAAACTGGTTATTTCATAACACAACACCTTGTTTTATGTTAAATAACACACTATTTAGTAACTAATTATAATCAAATTAATAATTTGCAATTTTAACAGATGTCAAAAATTTTGTCAGCAAAATAAATATTCAATTTGCACATAAATATTTTGTTCAGAAACTAAATAAAGCTAAATATTTACCCATATCTAAACCTTAAGTTTGGAAATATTTAGTTTGCAAACTAAATACAATATTTAGCTTACAAGCTGAATATTTAATTTGAATGCTAAATATTTAGTTTGTGAATTAAATGTTTAGTTTGGAAGACTGATATTTATATTACGTACGAATAACATAGAGGAAATGAAAACACATTGTTTGTCTGACAGGTTACATAAACTAACAGCAATATTTAATTTTTTTATTGTGTAACTTTTTAAATGGCACCCTATAATAAAAACCATGAAATATAAATATTTAAAAAGATCAATAATTACTATTAATTATTCTTCAGTCACATGTATTTAACTGACTTCTTTTGTAAATTTGAAAAACTCTATCCAGTGTATAGAAAAATCTTCAAGTACCGTTGTTGGCATTTTTCCAAAGAAAGAGTCCACTTATGCAGAAGCACAACAGAATCAATCCGACAACAAGTCCAATGGCCAAACCAAGAGGAAACTCAGAGGAAGAGGAAGGAGAAGGGGAAGAGGAAGGGGAAGGGGGAGGAGATGCTGGATCTGAAAGAAGGACCAGACATTCTTTTTATGAAACAGTTGTAGAATAGATATTTAATCTGTGCAATTTGTGAGAAGAAGCAGCTTACCCCAGTTGGTACTGATTGCTCCTTTTTCCAGTCTGATTAGTGGTTTTATTTCCAAGCTTAAACACACAGTCATATCTCTTCCAGTCTTCAGATTCAATTGACGAAACATTGAGGTCAACACTCATCTGGTAAGTGTTATTGGGGTTTGGGAGGATCTCACTGGGCTTCTCTTGAATCCCCACTCCATCTCTCCTCCAGAACATCTCAGCTGTGTTTGGGTAGAAACCTGTGGCAAAACAGCGGACAGGAGAGGAAGGGGTCTTCTGGAGGAGAGCGACAGAAGTGAGATCTGTATGAGGGAGACAATGCAGAGAGAAGAGGACAGAGGGTGAAGGCAAAAGAGAAAATGAAATGGTGCAAAGATGCAATAAATGGACGTTGCTGCCTCCTGCCTTTGATAGGTGGAAGTACAATATACACCAGTCAACCTATGACCACAGTAAACAAAAATCAAAAAGTAGGTTTAAGAATAATTTTGATGTATAAAAGACAAAAGAGATTTAATCTCAATTTATTCAAAATCTTACATAGCATTTGTCAATTCCTCATGTAAAAATAAAAGTTCTAAACAGCAAATGCAAAAGTTAAAGTTTTTATCCTTTTTGTTTTGCTACTAAAAACTACTATGTAGTTTTGTCTTACTGAAGATCATCATAAAGTGAGATAATAAACAGTAGTATGATCTACTGTATTCTTAGTGCTAAATGTAATCTTACTCTCAGAAAATCAGAAACTGAATGTTAAAATTAAACTGATTAAACAATGAATGTTATACCTTCTCTCTGCAGAGCGCTAAGAGTCACAAACTGTTTTAGCATTTGGGGGCAAATCAGTGTCAAAAACAGTGTTATGTTGTTTAATTTGTACTGGGCAGAGTCCCACAGCGGTTTTAATTGTTCAGCCAAAGGTTGTTGAGCAGTCCATGTCATATTTGTGGAGTATAGTTTCATGAAATCTTCTCCATTGTAGCCACACTGCTG